TGTCTACAAAGTGCTCACATGTATCACATAGCGACAACGCAATACTTCTCGCGAGAAACCAATCCGTGAGATTCAGGACGGTTTCCGCTCTGACAGACAAGGTATTGCCCACAATTTTGCACTTTACTAGTGATACAAACTGTTTGTTGTGGAAGTACTTCTTGATTTAGAAATAGTTTTTATTCCGTTGATCTACTTTATGACATCTAATAAAGTTAAACGGGGAAATCGCTACTGACTGCACTATGATAAATGTTGTGTCAGCTTCGACCTATTTTTCATTTTGCTGCATCTTTGTAATCCAAGTGGTCTTCAATTATTCTATGCTAACCCGTTGCAATTCAACTGACCAGCTGTCGGTTGCTCTGTGCGCGTACTACATAGCTTGCTTTGGCTCAGATGCAGAGGCTAGGCAAACAGAACAGATCAGGCTGACTTGCACTGATGTACAATCTAGGAAGTGATTTGCACGTCCAACGTCCAACGTGATGTGAACGGTCTGCGCCTGCTCAACATCAGTCTTCACAATCACCAAACAACTGTTCAGTGCCACTCGGTCTAATTATCTTGGTAACTATATCACCCCAGTCTATCATACTCTCAGAGCTTGCTGTACATACTGGTAAAGCTCGTTCAGCTTCTCAAGACCTTGTTAACCAGTGGAGATGTCTGTGCGTAAGCACGGTAGTTAAGAGAAGCGTCGGCTGCCTTGCGATATGACCATTTTATGTATGAATCAGGGACCTGGCCGATGTACATCAAGCGTATTAAGAGGCTGATCGCATTTTACCACAAAAATTTGCACAGTATTGCTTATGTCAGGTAGCAGAGCCGGGTAAGTATTACGAAACTTCATCATTATATTTTTTGACACAACTTTTCGATGCCTAGGTGGAATGCTTTTTTGAATTCCAGTCGTCTCCGTTGGCCCAACATAGTACCTTGCATGCCTACCAGCCTGTTTTCTGGCCACATACTGTTTGAAAATGCTGCGCCCAGTTTGGTAAGATCCCAAGATAACCTTTCACTAACATGTTAAGCGGGTATCAAGCTACTCACCGCAAGCTCTAATCGAGTTGTGTTGTTCGTTTACCCTGATGGTATATTTAGGATCAGTCAGACAAAACTTTGTATGTCCTATTGGACTTCGCGTGGTCAGTGGCGCGATTGTATTAGCCCCTTTGCTTCGGACCCATGACAAGTTAGCTTGATGATTTCATTTCTTGGTCGTTTCCCTTGAGTCGTTATTAATCCATTGTCTTGATAAGATGTCAGGATAATTAAATTCGGCACATCTCGCCGCACTGACAAAATTGTTAAACCTGACAGCATTGACCACCTATTAAGTGTGTATTGAGGACAAACAATGTTAAGTTGTGATAACGGATATCACCGTTCTAATAGCTTGGGATTTGATGGAATTTATGTTGACCAGTCCGCCATAAATCTCCCCTTATGTTTCTTGTGTCAAACTGAGCGGATTTTCTTAGCTATTATCTTCCAACAGGTCACCGTTATTGCATTTATTTGACTGAGATTTCCCCACTATGGAGGTGAATAGATTTCTGTCGATATTATTGGCAACTTCTAAGAGGCGAGCGCCGGTACTTCAGCTGCAAACAGAAAGACACCGCACAGTCACAACTGAACACTCTTCCGTGCCGCGTAGTATGCATGCTTTAATTTTAGGTTCCACAGTAGGAGAAATTAATTGGATACTTAGACAATTTTGCATGTTAAGCAATAATACATTGTTATTCATATGTGTGGGTTAATAGCCAGCCATATATTTCAGCAATACCACAGGTAATATCGATCGTCAGTAAGGGGCCAAAAGGACTGTGTTCACCTTTGGTCCACCGGCTAGGGTAGTCAGTGACTGTTGTCGCGTCCCAGAGGGTGCTATCCTCAGAATGGCCTAAATCTGACAAGGCAACAGCATCTTATCTGCAACAGTACCAAGGAAAGCTTCGGGTTGTAACGATGGGTCTCAGCCGGGCTGCCGATGTTCACGTGCCCGACTAACATCATCCGATTAGCCTGGGCTAGTTAGGTCACATAGTTCAAACCATGTGGGTTGCGATGGATTGGCTAACAAAATATTCAGGCCATTGGATGGTACATATTCATACATAGTAAGATAGACACTTTTCGAAGTGTGTTGGATATCAGCGATGCACCACCGTTTCGTTGACCTCTGGAGTGTTTTGGCCTTCTGCTGATTTTTTCTTCACACTGGGGCAAATTATCGAGATTGCAATTTGGATTGACACAAGGAAGGTCAGAACTTGGGAGATGCTAACCGTTATGCTCTGTCCTTTACATGACAAAAACGAATCGGCTTGTTTCACAGCAATACTGATTCATTGCTGAGAGTTCTATTAACTGGAGGTGAAGTAGCGAAAAGCCGGTCCATGTTCCTCTAAGAAGTAGTCATGGGTGTCAAACTTTCGCCAAGATTTACTCTCGTTTTCAATATTGGCAGTTTCAAAATCTTCTTTATTCGCTTTGAAAAGTATTAGATCATCAGAGCAGAAAACATTTCCATTTAACACTCTCACCTTCACCCTTAATAAGAATAACAAAATTCAGCGAAAGCTACATCAGGTACTCACACAATTTCATGAAACTGACTAACAGACAATCAGTACTTCGTTGGAAGATTCTTTAAATGAACATAAATCGGTTTGCAAAAATACTAGGAAGCGATGTTCATGCAACACGATATGCTGCATTCCGAACGACACGAAATGCACGACGGACCGCAGTGTAATACCCTTAAAGTACGGAGGCGCACTGGATGCACATATTCTGTGGCCATATGTCTAATGCCGCATTGACCGTGTTTAAGTCTAAAGTAAGATTGTGTCTTCAGGTCTAAGCAGAAAGCTCAAGTGATAAGTGATGAGACCCCCTACGTTCGCGTACCCCCATCCCAATAATATCTAAGCTGCGTTTCGCCCGCATGCATAAACTATACTATTATACCAAGATAATAATGTGCTGTCAATTCGGGAGTAGCCGAACATGGATCGAGAAAAAACTTCCGTACATATCTGAACGCCCGCAAAATACTTTCACTTTAGACTTTGCATCTCAGAAAGCACTCACATTGGCACATAAACACTCCCATTTATCAAAATGCATAGCAATTGTGAGGTGAACCTCTTGCATTCTCTACTTCGGATGCCATCCTCAATTAAAGGGCGAAAATACGCCGATAACGCCGCCCAAAGGTACATGGATTCGCGATTGTTTTGCCTTCACTACTCAAGCGTAGATTATTGCGTTTGAGAGGTTGTCAGCATCCAAGTTTATTGACTTTAATGCTTATAAACTAAACGTACCATTCCACTTACCTTACGCTGCCAAGTGGCTAACCATTCAAAAACTCTACTTTCCCGTGACTTCAAGTGACATCATTTTGCTTTGTTTAGTCACTGTCAATAACCTGTGATTTATCTTTCCTATAGCCTGTATTGTCTCACGTATTTTGGCGAAATGTTTCATAAACCCAGAAGGATAAACTATGGTCCCAACTTTATTTTGGTGCTCAGTATCCATTGGTTTATATTTCAAGTTCATAGCCGGTCATTTTCACATAGTCGTTATACTAACCTACTGCTATTTTTATTGACTTCGTTCAGAAGACGGCACCTTGATTTCGCACCAGATAAAACTTATTTACATGCATGGCGTTATCTAGAGACCCCCACCTGAGCTTATTTTTAATAAGAGTCATAACTCGTGCACCAGCATTTTTTTCAGTCTTAACTGGCCGTTGTCATTCAGTACCAAGCGATCTTTCGAAAGTGTCATGTTCTCTTTGCGCTCCGCTTCTGACACTCCTGTACTACACAGCTTCGCTATATTTAGCATTTCTGGTTGTTGACAACAGAGGGTGATCCGCGATGTGTTCTCAATCAAAAATAGCGCACGTATTCCGCTTTCCTTTCCTTTCTTTCTCCTTGTTTAATTCTTTGGTGTGACACAAATTTAATGAGAGTGTATACATACTAAAAACATTGCATATCGCCTCTGTTTATTTGACCTGACCTCGCTTAGCATGTTCTTTGAAATCCTATAATTGTAAACTATAGACCTAGACCAATAAAACATCTTTTTAAAATGGCACATAGTCCTCGTTTTCTAGTAGGATGTGTGTCCCATAGTTTACAATACCGATCTCATCGGTCACTGTCAGTGAAAGGCCTTTCTCAGACAACTGGTTCTGCTTGAAAGTGTGATAATCCTAGTGGTATTTGACACGCCGCAACAGTCCTAAGTTTTCTTCGAGTGCACCTATTCCCTATGCGACAGAGTTAGCTAATCACCAAACTGGATCGTGGCCAAAAATATCGCACAAGTTGACTATTATTTTCACATAAATGCTTACTCTAAACGTTTACGGAAGCTTATTGAGGTGTGCTCTCCTCCCTCTTTACTTTTCGCAGCATCCCTTGGATATTGTGTCCTTTTTCCAGTTTGCATCTACAGAACCCATCTGCACCTAAGCTTGCACACACTGAGTGTGCTGAAGGGTATCGAAGACGCAACAAAATTGATGATTCGGTATCTTGGAATCTATTCGGAACCGATTGGGGAGTCAACATTTCAGAAGACCGGTTAATATATTTGTTATAATGCACAACGTTTCGCTTTTACTCAAATGCTTCTTCAGGCGAAATGTTTTAGATGGTTTATATGTAACAATAATGATCGGGCCCATGTCCTAGCCTGATATTACAAGGACAACCTTCAGACAGGGATCAAGTCTGAATTAACGCGGCTGAACTGGCGACGACGGCCTTACGTGATCTCTGTTAAACACTTTCAGCCCTGGCTTTCAAACTTTAGATTGTTTGCACACTGATGGCATCGCAAATTCGCCAGTTTGATGATCCACCAACGGTACCGAGGACAGCCCAGCATATTTGCAGGGTGGGGACTAACAAACCTGATTCACATAAGGTTCCTCGTACCTAAGACAGCAGCGTAGTTTATGCAAATGGTGTAAAATATCCCTTGGTTGGTTCTGACTTACCATCTTTATCCACTGCAAGGAACTTCACCCAAATGTGTAGCATAGACCGTAGCACTGCATCTGCTTTCTTTTTGTCTAGGTGTCCACGTTGTATAAGAAACTGGCCGATTTGAAGCAAGTCATGACAGCGAAGTTTCATGCTTTCTCCGACATCAAAACGCCGAAACATGGAGCGCATTTTTCCCTCCCAGACGGGACCGCAGTCAACTGTGCCATAATCCTCGGCTCGTTTGTACTCCAGTAACGGACCCCACAATCGATTAATTTTGCTTGTTGAATCATCATCCACAAAGTAACCATACATAACTTCGCGAAATCTTTCCTTGGACAATTTTCCAGATTCAGAGTAAATTTTGAACACTGTCTCTGCGTCTCGCTGAATCGCCTTCCAGCCGAGGAACAGAGTGGTGAATTCCGGTGCAGTAATCTTCCCATCATCATCCTGGTCCATAGCAATAAACAAGGGATCGGAGAGTATCTCATGAAACTTATCCTTAAATTCCCCTTGCATTGCTTTTAGCACATTATCCACGAAGGTAGCTTCGTTAATGTTTGTCATAGTGGCTGCAATCCTATCCACGTGGGTACACAGTACTTTGTACCACATGTAAACCAGCGTCTTGACAATGCTGTCACATTTGTATGATTCCATTTTAGGATACACGTTGAAGATGTAAGTGCCTGCGTCAATGAGGTCATCAACCATGAGGTATCCGTGTCCGTGCGCATCCAATCGTCGGAACAGTGTCCGCATTTTACGAGTCCAGACGGGACCACCTGGACCGGAAGCCATAGGTATAAGATACCAAGGATGATGCCGTTTCACACGTTACAGAGCGAAGACAATGTCGTCTCTCAACTGCAATAGCAGTGGATACCCAAGAAACACTGTGATTTTTCGATTGACTTGTTGCATCTTCCTGAAGAAACAGTGAACCAATCAGGAGGTCGCGATAAGTGTGCAGCGCTGCCTAGGCAGTGTGGGCAACACACTCTTCGCACTGCGACCAAATGCACACACACCTCAGACCTCTGTGTCCATCGTGCAGAATTCTGTATAAAGTGATAGGCTGCGAGGATTAGTGGAAAACCGGTGTGAAGGTCAGCATGAATCACGCTGGCCAAATTCACTTGGGGTGCATGAACCAAAACTAATGTCAGGCATGTTGCGGTTTCCGCACTTTATCGACACATCTTTACTGGGTAAGTAAAGTGGGAGTAGCTGCTCTTTGATTTCACAGATGTCAGAAGATCGATCTACCTCATGGGTGCGGAGAATTTTGGGCCTTCAATCTCTACTAGTCACAAGCACACTGACAACTAGTGGGCGGTTCAGGAAAACGTATGTAGCGGTACCACAATATTGCTTTTCAGGAAGCGGTCGACAGATGAACAGACAGGCTGCTGGACGTCACTGCTGATGGGAAAGTGTTCGTACTCCGGTAGTTGCAGCTTGGACAACTAGGGTAACAATGTTTAGGTTAGCATCGGTTTGTCTTTATCATAGGAGTCACTGAGGAATGATTCGCCGAGATCAACATAGCATCACTTCTGGAATGTAAAGATGTATTGGTGTACCCAAGCACGGACGCAAAGGGTCGTTTGTTCTACCCACAACTCACCTACCATCTTTGTGCTTTCTACGGTAACAAGACAAAATTTCGGACACACTCACACAGTACACATGATCCAAAGATCTAGTACGCTCAAACCCAGTACCGTCCCTTGTACTTTCGGCAGGTTAGTCGCCATCTCCTTTCGGACCCACACCCCGCTGCGTTAGCTCATGTATTACTGGTTAATGGCTGGTTGCAGAACACGTGGATTAGGTAGCACTATGTTCTGCCGGATAACTTCTTAATACACTACTTCTTACACATACTCCTCATAACCCCTTGGGATAAGATCTCACGATTGCCATCAATGTGTACAGAATGGCACAAGGTAAACCTAATTTTGGAACAAGGGTGCTCACAGCTCTGCGTCAGTGTATTCGGGCCACTCAAGAGCTACGCAGGTTGTAGATCGACCAAGGAGGCTGTGCAAACTGCACTCGGTAATGGTGACCAAAACTAAGTGTGCGATGGACTGCAATCAATAAAATGTGAGACAACAAGAATTTCGACCACTCGTGCTTGGGGATCAAATTAAGTGATCTATCTAAACTGTTTGTCTTCTTTCATTCTCAGCCTGAGGTTTAATGGTTAAATCAAGTGGAAATAAATAGTTTCAAATGAAGGTCGATCCAACGTCCTGCAAGCTAATCTTGCTAGTAGGTTTAAAAATTGTCTTTTCACATAGGAACACCTTCCAAATCAACTTATGCAGCACTGCCTTTTTGTGGCTTGCGCTCATAAGTAAATACTTCTATGTGTACTCATGTGAACCGCTCGTTTAGTTCGAAACGTGGGGCATTTTTAGCACATATCTTTGAGTGGTCGGTCTAGGAACATCGTCTGATAGCGACTTACGAATTGATCGAGCGCCTGATTAATTGCAATGGGGAAGACCAATGAGGAAGACGATAGTACGGCAATGTGGACCGCTGTACAACCGTTGTTATTGGAAAAGTTTGATGCGATAAGTAGGTTTCCGTCTCATGGGAGCTAGAATGAAGCAAAGCCCAGAATCAGGCGGAAGTAAAGTTAGGTCTGCTGAAGATGGTCCCAATACTTCAAAAACTCGTGGAAGCACTAAAAGCAGAGACTAAACTCAGTGTATGCATTCTACACAAAGTAATTGGATTAGTCGGAGGTCCAAATTAAGGAGGCTATATTTCCACCTTGCCATTTCAAACAAATACACCGTTATACAAACGGTCCAAATGACACTTACTCTCTATCCATTATGGAGATCTTCAAGTTTCCTCTCAGGATAGTGCAACCCTTACTTTCACAAGTTATTTGCCGATATCACAATCTCAGAAGTCATATTACTGGGTCATCATAAAATCAGTTGACTTATTTTTGATGCCATTCCAGAATTTTGGGACGCCTCACGAAGATTTTTTATAGGGTACATTAGGAGACCCACTGGAAAAATGATCTTACATTGTTCATTTATCTTACATTTCAGCGATAGTTGCGGCATTGGCAAATGATCAGCATGCTGTTCGCGGATGCTTGTTGTATCAGTTCCTATAAGAGCGCAAAGCGGTCGAGGTTTGTCGAAACATGCGTGGCTTACTAGGCACGGACGCTTCAAGTTACAGTATTGCGAAACTTTGTTTTCGTCCATTCAAATTAGGGAACTACGAGTTAGCAAACCTCGGAGGTCAAGGACGAAAGCCAGCGGACTTTGCCAGAAACATGCAGGACTCTCTAAAGCAGGATCCGAAACAAAACGTGCGTCATTTCTCGTCACATCTTGCCCTTCCAAAAACCACCGTTCATCGCCATTTGCGCCAAATCGGAAGGGTCCCAAAGTTCAGACAGCTTGTACCACATGAATTGGCTGATGAACAGCTTCTGAACCGTCGTACCACTGTACATTTATTGCACACCCCAGGAGGCAATCATTGCCGGCTGAACCATATCGTTATTGGAGACTAAAAGTGGGCGCTCTATGTCAATCATAACGGGGAGCGTCAGTGGAGCGCAGCAAATTAGATGCCTGACTGCATTCCCACACGTTCATCCCATGCAGCTCAGTTGTTAATTGAACTAAACGCGTACGAGTGTGATCGCCGCTGAGTTAGCTAAAAGCGTCACGTATTTTGCTCTCATCCGTCTGTCCACTCGAACGTGTCGTCTCAACTTAAACACCAACGCTGATGAACAATTGTGTTGGACAAAAAGTGGCTGCGTCCTATCATTTGTGAACCGTTCCCCGTTTAGCGCACACGCACTTCCCCAACTGTAGCCCGCACCTCAGAGTGTTTTTAACACTCTGTTCCGCAGGACTAAAACCTTGATACGGGACATGGGAGACTCATTGTTAAGCTCATGTGCATGGGTAAATCTCATAGCTGTATGCACGATGTGACGATAAGTTCAGTTAGTTGAAATTCGAGCCTGAAACATTTTACGGCTTATATTAATTCTCGAGGACGACAATAAATGGGTCAATCTGGACAAAATATTTACTCGTAAAGGATCCTGGAGCAGAATTGAAACGGAGTTTAATGAAAAGCTGGTTGGTGAACATTTTAACAATGTTTGGTTTGTGACACAAAAAGATCGTTGGACCAGGTGAATTTGCACACGGCTAGTGCAGCACTCCACAGTGAATGATTGAGATAAAAACGAACACTGAGACGCGAGTCGTGACGCTATCGCAATTGCTGGTCTTAATGTCATTTCAGACGGTGCAAGCAGAGACAGACTATTCCAGGAGGCAGCCCGCTAAAGACTTGGCGCGGCGAAGAGGCGTTGTTAATCCTCTCTATCCAATCGGACCCTAGCCTAGGCGTTCTTCAGATTGGCCACTATGCACTTGAGGCATTCAAACCTTCCATTCTATCCACGCAGTTGTTGTGAATGCTTGCAAGCTTCAAGAATACATGGTCTAACCAGAGCCCAAACTGAACCGCAACATTAAGGCTATACGTCGTATTCCAACGAAAAGAAAGTAGTAGGGGACTTGAATGGTATAGGAAGGAATTCATCACATCTAAACTCGGTCAGACAGGCATTACAAGCCCGGAAAAGCACTGTACGGGCAGTTCATACTTTCTGCATATTCTGCGCATCCCATCTGACCTCTGTTGGGTTCGAATCCGCAACTCGACTGTTGCCTTTCTGTGGTTGCGACCACTGAGTTACGGGGGACGGTAACCACCGTCATGACTGAGTTACTAAATGTGATTATGCGCCGCTCATTCTAGTGTCAGCCCCAAAGGCGTCAGACAGAATGCGTACTACTGATGGTTTCAGAAAGGATAGAAAGTCTGTACGGTGCTTTGTCGGGTGTGTGTTGGCCATTTGACCGAGTTTCTATGTTAAAAATTTCTTTCTATAGTATTCTGATAGCACAGCAGCTGTCCAAAAAAAGTAGCGCGGACCCCACACCTGATCTGAGGAAGTGCGTCTGGGTGGCTCAGTCGTGAGCTGGTGCGGATGTAGTGATTGTCGGAAGACGCGCGTACCACTTCACAACCGAACACCGCAGACAACGCTCGTCAAGATAGTGGAAGTCTCTGTGTTGTTTCTACTGAAGTAATCAGCTTGCGGTATTTCCACTGGCAAACTCGAAACCGGTGGTGGAACGCAGTGTTGGGCGAAGGCAACACCTAACAGGTATTCACTTCAAACACGGTTCTAGTGATCGAACAAACCGAGTTTCAGTTTTACGCAAAGCCCAATCGTGACTGAGACGGGTGTCAAAAGCCATGCACACAACGGGTGCCACACGTAAACATACAATCTTTTCATATGCTTTAAACTGCTACTTTACAAAGTGATATCCTAGAAACGACTCCACAAACCTCACTGTGAACGACGAGGTGCGTGGAGTCATCTGCACCGATTTGGTTACACCACTAAGCTCCTTTAATCAAGCCATTTGTGGATCCCATTGGCAGTAGGCGTACTAACCGTATCTCTCTTAATGAAAACAAGAGGGCAAATCCTGAAAAAATCGCCGGGTTTAAAATTAGCTTTTTGGCGCGTCTCTGACGGACTGTGTGCTGCAAATCCAATGATACCTCGTAGGGCACGTAATATCTATCGGACGGTTTGCGAATTCTAGGAGTTTTGTTAATTGATCTGCTAATGAGACAAGCATGTAAGCAGTCGTATCAAGGCAAAGTAAATAGCACTGAGGAAAACTTATCGATACAAAGAGAGGTTGGCCAAAGTAAAAGCATTGAGGTGGTCATCGCAGATACGGAGTTGCGTTGGTAAAGAAGTATCGTGACAGCCGTATACCTTCGTGTTTGAGGTCACATTGTCTGTCATCTCAACTGTCTCCGTGAG